CCCCCCCCCCCCCCCCCCCCCCCACTCTCCTTCCTGGCAACCATGAGGTGAACAGGCCCTCTGCCATGATGTACTGTACTGTCTCAGGCCCAATGACATGGACCAAAGCCTCTGAAACTGTGAGCTTTTCCTAGCAATGGAAGGCTGACTAACCTGCTCATGGGATGAAATTCTCTTCCAGGTACCTTCCAAGTAAAGCCAGGGGGCAGGCAAGCAGAAGAGGTACCAAAGGGGAGAATCATTTCAGGTGGAAGAAGTCTGAGCCTGAGGGGTCCCTGGTAGAGTCAGGTTTTGGGACCGGGTTTCAGCCTGATGGAGAAAGAGGGATGCAGCCAGAGGAAGAGCAGAGTAGGATAAGGGTGGTAGAACCGTGCACTGTGAAGAAATCCAGAATAGCACAGTTAGCTAGGCATTTGCCTTCGGCAGATGGTATCCCAAACTCACAGCTGCCACCGAAGCTGAGAAACAGAATGAACACAGAGCCTCACGGTGTCCTGGTCACGGTTGCTGCCAGTATTTCTAGACTGACTTTCCCAAGAGCCACAGAATGGTCAGGAGCCCAGACCTAACATGGTCACTTATCTTAGTGGTGATATCAGGAGTCCGAGTGTGTGTGTGTGTGTGTGTGTGTGTGTGTGTGTGTTTTGCTGAGGATGGAACTCAGGGCCTCAAACATCCTAGGCAAGCACTCTACCACTGAGCTACACTACCAACCCCCAAATCCTTATTAAACTGACAAGGTAACAACCACTGTCACCTCCTGCTAGAGAGATGAAGGGACAAAACACCCTTCATGCCATGAATGGATTACTGAGTGCACCCTGGGCGGTGGTGTTGCTGGTGGCAATTTTGCAAAGGAAATAACAGCTTTCCTGTTGTCAGTGAGAGAAATTACTGACTGTGTATAATTTAATGTACTTTGTTTAATATATAGTGGTCTCACTTGTACAAGATTTACCTTAATAGAAGAAAGCTTCTGAAGTCGGGTGTTTTTCAGGGCACCTGGGGCTGTCCTGTATTAAAAATAGACCCATTAGAGTTGCCTCTACAGCTATGTATGTTTTGCCATTACCTTTGAATAAAGAAGGGTTATTAAGGTAACCATATAAGAGCACGTTTCCTTATGGCTTCTTGAAGCTTCAGTTCTGCATTATTATGATTTTGAAGTCACAGTATGTTTGCTCTGTATTAAGCCAAAAAACAAAAATACAACCAGAGTGGGTGTGAAGGGAAAAGTGGGTCTCCATGGGATTCTTTCATGGTGTTGGGAGCCACTGGTGCTTCTGTTTGTTATTTCAGATGGAGCCTGAAGTTTAGATGATGGGAAACAAATCAGCAATTATATTTGTAAATCTATACCCCCATTCTTTTCTAACTTGCCTTAAAAAAATCTTTTTGTTATTATTTATATCCTACTACTAATAATAAAAACATTAGCACCCCTTCAAAAACAAGCTTATTTGGGTAGGCAGAGGGGAAACGGGGTTCCTTTCAGGATTAGGTGTGCCATATCGGGATTTGATGTTAAATCAAAAAACGAGTTTAGAATTGTCTGCCTTGTTCCCAGGCTGATTCATGATCCATTTTCCTCTCTCTGCTCTGCCCAT